TTAATCTTCCCTGGCACTTAGTATTTCATTATGTTGTGTAAAAATTATTTACCACATGTATTCCCTATCTTCCTATACCATCATATCACACATACATACCCAAGAGCACATACACATACAACACACACCACACACACACGCACATCACACACACACACACACATGCACACAGCACACACACATACGTACACACGCACACACACATGCTCACAGCACACACACACACACACAGCACACACACACACACACACACACACACACGCACACACGCACACACACATGCACATACATCTCCCTACTTTTGAAAGGCTGGCTTCTTGGAGCCTAGTTCTGGCCCTGACTCTATCATAAGATCAAGTCCTCTTTGTTGAGTGTGTCAGCAGTCCTCAAATTTTGTGATGGATGGATGCAATAATTCTGTTTCCAGGGCAATCACAATAATACCTCTTTTCAGGTCCATGCCACACCCAAGATATAGGCAGTATAGATAGTCCCAGGAGGCTCCAGATACTTAACAGGAATTCCCTGGAAACATGGATATCCAGGCCATAGGCACAGGACAGTTGGGATGGTGACTATCTGGACAAGACAGGGACAGTCTATACCCAGCTAGATAATGCCATATGAGATGAGTCTCAGTCTGCATTAGCCTCTGTCTCCTCCACCCCCTCACCAAGGGCAAGTTAGGGCAGGGCAGGGCCAGAACCCCAGGAGCCAGAATTGGCTCTCTGTTAAACATTAACTCTATAGCAAACACTGGGCGCTGGGACCAACTGGTACCCTTTCCAGGTTCAGCAGGAAGGAGGAGGTGAAAGAACCCAGGGTGGGGAAAATGGATTCTGGTTCAGCATCGACCTCACCTAAGAAGAAACCAGTTAAAATCCACAAAGGAAATCCTGGTGCTCCAGCCAAATCCGGTAGGCAGAAGCCAGATGAGGGTGGGACGGGGAGATGAGGGAAAGCAACTAAACATGAGGTGGACATGGGTGCAATGCAGACTAGTGGGGAAAGGGTACGATAGGGGGCAGGAGTCTCAAGGTCTCATCTGGAGAGGTTATACCACCACAAGAGTGAAATTTGGGGTTGACTGCCATGAGATAGCAGTCAGGAAGATTCCTCAAAGTTACGGATAAAAACCATAGTTGGGAGACAGACAGACATAGAGGAAGAGACAGTCCTTGGAGGAAATACCAGGTACTGGGGGTGTAATCTCTTCTGCCTCAACACCTGCCATTCTACTCCCACAAAGCTTTGTCTTACTGTTCTCAAACTGATGCCAGGTGGACTCGCCCTGGATTGGCACCAATCCTCCTTGTCTTCCTTAAAGCCAGCCTTCCTAACGGCGGACAATGTCAGACAATGTGAGTGCTGTCTCTCCCAGCTGCCCTATTCTAGGCTCTGTCCCTAAGTCGTTAAGGAAACACTAACAAACCCAGAATGAGGCATAAATCAGAAGGGTCTATCTGCCCACCTGGAGCTCAGTAAGACCTATGCCTGCTGGGACCATGAAGGGTCACATTTAAAAGGTAGATGGCATCCTTCAAGCTTTAATCTGACCATCTTTATCTCTGCCTACAGATCCAAAGCCCTGTCCCCTGACCCCTTAACCTCCTGATCACTGCAGCTGTACCTTTGTATTCCCAGCCTAGAGGCCCTGCTGAATAAAATGAGCTGGTCAGCTATGGGGGTGAAGGGCAAGAAGGGCCCCAGGGCAGCTGCACAAGACAGAGTCTTCATACTCCACCCTGACACTGATGCTCACCCTCAACAGGCTTTCCCTGTGTCAGTGGGGCCACTTCCCTTCTCATGACTCACTGCTCAGGTCAGGTTCATCTTTTATTTCGCAGACAATTTCCCCTTAGCTAGTCATCAGACAGTGAGTTGCTTTTCTCCTACAGACCGGTGGTGATGGTTGAAGCTAGCTTCCTGTTAAATTACATCCAGACCCCTTCAACAAGTCTTGAGTATTCCTATAGTCGTCAGCACTCTACAGAGCCCTGATTCTAGCCTGCCCCCAGTGTAAGGGATTATAAAGTTTGCATCTATCTAAAGGTCTCCTAGTGCCAACTATAGAACCTAAGGCATCATAGCTAATGAGCTGACTCTGGCAGGGGGGAAGAGATCAGAAAGAGGGTTGTCCACAGCTGTAGGAACGGGACACCAGGATCCTCTGTGAAGTTCAGATTCCAGCCAGTCAGCAGAGAGCAATGGAGATGAAAGGCAGGTTGAAGCAAAAAGCAGGTCAAAACAACAAGGGTAGATAGAAAGCTTCCCAAAGGACGTTGTATGGACTTCGAGGGGGGTAGTGCTGAGGGAAGGATCAATTGAGGTTTCCCTGATGGTATACCTGAGTACAAGTTTATAAGACATAGACACAGCACTCAGAAAAGGTACTTAGACAGCCAGAGTCCAGCAGGTGCTACAAAACCCTACCCAACGGGTGGCTCTTGGAGAACCAAGTCATAGATTTCAGTTCCAGCCAACGCAATGGGGCTGATGTCTAGAGTAAATGCACTGGCAGAGTCAGAGGGAACCCAAGAGAAATTTCTGTGGTGTCAAACTGACAGCAACTGGATAACAACACTGATATCAGGCTCTGGAAAATTGAATGAGGACATCTCTCTCAACAGAAAAGGTAGGAGGATCCCATTCAACTAGCCTGCTTGGGTACTATAGCCACATTGCCTTTCCACTACAGCAGTTACTGATCAACTTCTACAGGAGCTAACCCTTGTGTGAGATATACAGGAAGAAGTGAAACCAGCGGCTATTGACTATACAACTCCCATGCACACCTCTTAGCACCTGCAGCTATGGCAACTGGAAACTGTTTCTGGTTTCCCCTCTGTCCACCTGCCATTTCTATTTCCTCCTCCACTTTCACTCCTTTTTGCTTCCTGCACCAACGTTGGGTCTAGACTCTACTGTGCACATATAGCGGGACCAGTAAGAGGGCAGGCAGCAGCCAGAGCAGGCAGAAAGGGATGTATTGGTGGTCATCCTGGAGGACTTATAAAGGTCTGTTAAGTTCAACAGCAGACAGATGCCTCCCCACCCCCCAATCCCCCAGCCAGGAGGCCATACCCACCATCATACTGAGTAATCAGATGTTGGAGTACTCAGTTTCTGACTCAGGCTGAGCGAGATGAAAGAGGTGGAGGGGCGGGGAGTCTTAAACCATGTAGCAATCAGGAAGAAGGAGAAAGCCAGCCTGGTGACTGGAAACCAGAGAACAGGGAAGAGCATGAACGGGGAAGAAAAGAAAGGTGGGTGAGGGGCAGAGAGCAAGGAGCAGAGAACAGTACAAGGAATGGGAAAGCAAGGCAAACAGAAGCAGGCCTACTGAAAGCCTTTCAAGAAGAGAAAGGGAGGACAATAAGAGCAATAGTCACCACAAAGACAAGATTTGCATGCTCAAATTTTTATGCTTTAATTGCCCAAAAGCACTGTGGCCATGTGTTCTCTGTTTCCCTTGAGTGACACTAATTCGTGCAATGTGACTTAAAAGGAGGTTGGAGGACCCTGGGGTGTTTGCAACAGTTGGGGCGGGACAGCTCCCATGGAGACAGAAAGCTCCTCCCTCCAAGATCTGAGCTGCCATCAGCCTGAGGCCAGAAGAATCTTAGTCTGAGTCAAGGAGAAGGAACAGGCAAGAGGAGGCAGAGTTCAGCTTCTCTCCCACCCACTGTCACCTCAATCCTCAATGTCCTCATGTCAACACAGGCCACTTGGGGTGTGGTCAGTAGGGCTGTGGGTAATAGACAGACAAAAAGCACCTGGAATGGGTAGGCACAGAGCTGCTTGTGGGAAGCCAGAGTGTTAGCTGACATGTGTCTAACTTGAAGGATCTACTTAATACCATATTGGAACACACACGGCCCAGAGGGATGATTTGGACCCACAGCCCCACATTAAATACAAGTTTCAGCTGGGTGTGATAGCACACGCTTTTAATCCCAGAACTCAGGGAGACAGAGGCAGGTGGATTGCTGGGAGTTCAAGATCAGCCTGGTCTACAAAGGGAGTCCATTACAGGCAAGGCTACACAGAGAAACCTTGTCTCAAAAAATTGAAAGAGGGAAAGAGAAAGAAAGACAGACAGACAAACAAGCCTAGCCTTGAGCCACTCCTCTGCTTTCTCCAACCCTGTCATTCCACCATCCTGATAGCTTCTCCAAGCCCCAGCTCCCACTGGAGCAGAACTAGGCACAAGAGGGGGAGAGGGAGGATGGGGAGGGGTGGATGAGTGTTATTCTCAACACAGACAGGCATTTAGCAGGAGACACAAGGGTATGAAGGCAGGCCACAGTGTACATCAGCTCTTCGACTGAGCAGTCCCCCTGAAGGTGCAGAACATGTGGCCAGGCCAGGCTGAAGGATTTTAGCCAGCTGTTCTTCCAGGGAAGAGGTCAAGGCCTCGCGACGTAGACAAGGAGAATAGAGCCTTTTCACCCACTGCTTACTACACAAGCATTTTCAGGGTCCAGAGCTGGATGAATGGCCGCTAAAGGTGACCTAAGAAAGACTTGGGGCTTTCAGACAAGAAGGCGGCCAAGCCTTTGATAGGAGCATGCTCTGGAGGACACTGGATGTCTGTGACACATTCCACCACACAGCACAGTCTCTCCGCTCCAGCTCCCCCAAGATGTCTTGGTTAGTGATGCCACCTTTAGCCCTAAGTACACCCTGTGGCTCCCCTGGCCTCAGAATTGTGCCTGGCCTTGAAACAGTCACTCCTCTCTGGCTGCAACCTGACCTCATATAGGACACTAGATGAGGAAAGAGATGAGATGCAACATTTCTTCCAATCCCCAAATCAAATCCTCCTCCCCAGGACTTCTCCATCCTGCCTTAGAGGAGAACTGCCGTATCTGTGCTGGAGCGAGAAGAGGCTGACAGAGGCAAAAACTCAGAGGACCCAAACTGTACTTGACACTCCCCCCCCCCCCAACACATCCATTTTAATATTACCCAACAAGAAAGGAAACGGAAATACTTACGTTGTACCAACTCTGGCTTTTCTGAAAAGACAAAATAAAAGAGAGAATAAAATTAGTTGGGGAAGAGTGGTTGGAAGTGGCCAGAGCATTCCTTCCCCCCCTGGGGTGAAGGTAACACAGACAGCAGAGGGTGGGCAGGGGGAAGGAACCCAAATGCAGCTGAATGCTTCCCATGTCGATGCTCAGAAGGGTCCTCCTTTCACAAGACAGCTCCAGAAAGGAGGCCCGGGAGCAGTCCATGCTGGAAGCCCCACCATAGCTGGGGCGGTTGGAGATGCAGGCAGTGGCAACACCAGCTAGCGTTCAACCAGAAGGGAGTCAGAGCCCCATCGCCAGGACCTGCTGATGGGGTTGTGGGAAGTGCGCTAGGCATCCAAAGCCTAGTCCCCAAGTGGGTTTTGACTAGAAGCAAAGTATCGATGAAGGCCAACGCAGCCTCCTGCTCCAGGTCAGCTCCCCTGGCAAAGGCAGGGTACATATTTTGATGGAAGTAGAAGATCAGACTATCTAAAGTCACACTGTGATCTCAGCTAGCAGGTGAGTAAATTTTCTTCTCTCACAACTGCCTGACCTCCTAACAGCTAACAGGGGAACAGAGCTGAATCGTGTCATTTCTAAAGGCTTCTTCCGACCCATGGTGTTATATATAACTCGGTATTCATAAGACCACCTTCTGTGCCAGCTCTATAGGGGAGGAATTCTCATTCTGATCTCCCCACAGGGTCTGAAACTTTCTAATAAAAGAAGGGGAAAAGCTAGATTGCATCCTGTCTGTTTACAACCTCTATATATGAGCAGTCTGTCAAACTTTACCAACAGGTCAAAGCCTCAATGAGATACCAGAGGTATGGAGCCTATACATAGTCAGCAACCTAGAGCTTGTGTTAAAGGGTCAACTCATAAATGCAGAATTGGGTAGCCATTGTGTCAGCTGGTAAGGTGTGTGTGTGTGTGTGTCTGTGTGTGTGTGTGTGTGTGTGTGTGTGTGTGTGTGTCAGGGTGGAGGTGACTATGAGCCAGGATTCTGTAAATGACCACAATGATGACCTGATGGTCATGTGATCTCCCTCACCTCACCAAGTTTTTTCTTTTGGCCAGAAGTTGGCCCGACACCTTGACCCTCTGTTCTGACACAGTCATCAGAGTGTCCAGAGATAGGTAGTGGAAGGGGCAGGGGCATGGATATGCATTTCCCTCACACACATTTCACTAGCCAGCCTGCTGCCAGAGCATCAGGTAGCAAGGCAGTCACTTGGGTCCCCTCTGCTAGGAACTCTCTGTGCTCATTCCTCAAAACGCTGTCACTGTGGACTCATCTAGAAAGCATATATATATATATATATATATATATATATCCAATCCAGAAGTTGAAGGGCAAGCCCACATACCTAAGGCTATTTCATCTCAGAGTGGGAACTGCCACCTTGTAGGAGAGAATTCTGGACCTGAACATCCCCATCTAAGGAGTTCAGCTAAGGTTATGTGACCCTGGAAGAGGGTGGGTGGAGCAAGAAAGTTATACCTAACTGGACTGTCATTTCTATAGATCTTTTTGGGTGTTTACAGTGACAACTGACTGTAGGACTTCAAGGAACTGGGTTATGGAGATGGTATCCACAGTTTTTGTGTGCTGCTTTAACCCTGTCCCAGGCTAGTCACATGCTTCATAGCTGAGGAATCTCTCTCAACTTCACCCAAGACCTTTATTTTTTGGAACTTTTGTATCCAACCCTAGGAGGAAAGGGTTTGTGATCCTCAGACATGGTACCTGCTCTCCTGCCTCACACACCCAGAAGCAGACCCTCCCTTCCTATGCACTGGCATCACGATGCTAGTCCCTTAAGAAGCTACTTGAAACAAACAGCTTCAGGGTCCCAAGAGCTTCAGTTAGAAGCTCTGTCCCATCTCTAATAGCCCTGTGATGCTTTTATGTCTACATTTGTTATCTTAAAAGGTGAGGGTAGAGCTGAGTTCAATGGCACACGCCTGTAATCCCAGCACTCTGGGAGGCAGAGGCAGGTGGGTCTCTGTGGGTTGGAGGCCAGCCTACAAATTGAGTCCAGGGACAGGCCAAGGCCACACAGAGAAACCCTGTCTGGAAAAACAAAAGCACGCAAACAAACAAACAAAAAAAAAGCAAGAGTATAAGAAAGGATATCTAAGAATTAAAATAAATGAGAAACGCACCCTCTAGAGTAAGGACTTTGGAGGGTCTGCCCTACACAGTTCCTCCTCTGACAGCGCCAAGGATGCCTAAGGGACACACGCTCACATCTCCAGTGAGATCCACATTAGCCCTCAAGACTACCCAGCAGGAAGGCCTTCCTAACCTCTGACCTGCCTCTCGGAGAAGAATCACATCCTCAAGACTCCACATCCCTGGCCTGAAGGAAGGCTAGAGGGCAAGAAGGGACAGAACTAGGGAGGCCAGGTTCTAAGAACAAAGGCAGAGCTCAGGGAGGCAGGACTAGAACTGAAGGTGGAGGACATGGAGAACTTGTTTTGCGTTTCTTTGGCTTTTTCTACAAGGAATCAGACAAGCAAGGGCTACATGGAACGCAAGTCTCCCAGAAACATACCCAAACTACCTTATAGCAGTTTCCTGCCTCCGTGTCTAACTAAAAGGATCCCCCAGAACAAAGGCTCCAGGAGTCTGGAAGGCGAGCTGAGGTTGGAGGTGAGCAGAGAATGGGGCCAGGAGCTCTACGTTAAGCACAAATTGGAGGAGGGCAAAAAACAACGTCTTACTTTGATCAGATTAAGTCTGTCATACTGAAAAGAAAACCACAAAAATTAGAATTCAAACAAACCAACTAACAAACAAAAAGGTGAAAGGTCACAGGAGCACCAGTGTCACAGCACCGGGCATTGCCAAGCACCAACGGAGAGCTAAGCAGCAAGGCAGATGCCAAGGACTGGGTGGCCATGTCTACTCAGCAGGCCTACAAAGGGCAGAGAGTGCCGCTCTAGAGCTGGTAGGAGCAAGAAAGCATGTCCTGGCTCCCTCTAGTGGTCACAGGCCTAAGTATAGCTGGACTGTGACCCAAACCCAGGGGTTTCTGGGAGTGAAAGTCAGTCCAGAGGTCCTGTAGCTCCCTGCTCTGAGCAGAAGCAAGAATCGACTTCAACCACCGAGAATATGATGGGAAAGGTAAAGCCTTCATGATTTCCTGTCCTAATCCTCTATCTAACAAATGAAGAAATGGAGGCCAGAAAGGTAGAGAGAGACATTGTGAAGAGGAGACATCTTGCTGCCTGTTTGAAGAACAGACAAGGTGGCCTCTTAGCAGGAGGTGGTCAGGGGTGGCCCAGCTATGAATGCAGCAAGGACAGCTCTAGCTAACAAATCCTTTGTATAGCTATATCTGGCCACTCTGAAAGGATGCTCCCTGGGGAAGCAGCTTTAAAAGCTTTGGCCTTACCCCTGAGTGTCTTGCAGTCTAAGAGCTGGACCTGCATTGACCCCTCTTCCCATGGCAGCTTTGGTGGTCATCTTCTACAGTCGGTGTATTTTGCATATGCATGCTGCAGCTGACCACGGTTGCTTCCCAGGGCACTTGTGCAATGTGGTCCTTCTCACATAAGCTGTTAGTAAGCATTGCTCCCTGAACGAATACCTTGCTAGGCTTGGAGGAAAGAGCTGCACACCTCACCTCAGGACTGGGAAGACTAAAGACTCGGAGCAGATGTGGAGAGAAGGAATAACCCGCTGGATGCCCGCATCCAGCCGGATCCTTCCTCTCCCAGATGAGCCTCGAGCCATCTGGTAGCACACATTTCAACTAAGGCAGAGGGGTGAGCACTCTGGCACAGTGACAAAAGGTCTTATACAACTCCCGTCCCCAGATAACAGGCATGCCTGAACCTGCCTAGCCTCCTCCACCCACAGAGCACTCCCGCTGGCTTCCTTGCTCTGGGCTGTCCCCCAATGGTGACAGCCACTTAAAATCCTGAGAGCTACATGACGCGCTTTGCATCTGAAGGGCACAGTAGCCAGGCTAGGCAGCGGGGCTCCGTGTTCTCCCGTCAGGAATGAACAGTGCTCAGCCTTCCTCTCTGAGGACATCCACAGACACTGTTGGAAGTTGTCTCTCAGTGCTTCCAACCCACACTCCTTCCCCACAATTGATTTCCTGGGCCCTACTACCTTAGTACCAATTGTTGACCACTTATTCACTCCCACTTCCCCTCAGACCTCAGAGATCCCAGGGCCCTGGCTGCCATCCTCTATCCTGAGCCTGGTGGTTATTGTCACCTTCAGCCTCCAGGTGCTGGCACTTCACCCTCTTTGATCAAAACCCAGAGTTCTAAGCATACCACAAATGAGTACCAGTGTGGTACAAGCAAGTAGTAAAGGGCACCCTGGCAAAGTAGCTCTCAGGGGTGGGGTGGAGGGAAAGACAAATGAGGCAGACCTCCCCAAGCGAGCGGAGGTTTCTCCTGCCGGGCTCTCATCACTTCTGCCAGGGCAGCCAAAGTTTCCCCATCCAGGGGCCACAGTTAACAACGGTGTGACTGAGTGGAGGCCCCACACCCACCGGAGTGGAAGTGCCCGCTGCAGGACTCTGCTTTTAGAAAGTGCCACACAAGGAGGGAAACACATTCCCACTACTGGTGGGTCTGAGAAGCAGGCAGACATGGGGTGGGGGGATGGGGCCGCGGTGCGGGGGTAGGGAGCAGAGTCTGTTCTCTGACATCGGGCGGTGGGAGTGGTCCCTCAGTGACTTCCAAGCCAGCCTGCCAAGGGATGGGGGTGGTGGGGAACAGTGGGGTCGGCCCTTCTGGGAAAGGGACCAAGCAGGGCATATGGGCAGAACTGGCAGGGGTTTAGGGAGGGATGCTGAGCACCACAGACAATCCATTACTAGAGGGGGGAGATTAAAAGACAGAGACAAAAGATGGCTTACTTTTGAGAGGCGCTTGTGAGACTAAGACCATGCATGCAAAGAAGGTGTTTGGGAAACAGTGGGGAGAAGAGGAAGAACAAGAAATCAAAAGACAAATTAAAGTGGGAAACCAGCTCCCAAGCCCCCCTGGGGTGGGTGGGGGGATCCCCTTTCTCAAGCCCTATAAGTCTGGTGGTTTGGGAGCAACTGAGTAGAGATGGCTCTTGATTGCCAGGGGCCTGCGGATGGGAGGAGAACTCTTGGGAACCATAACCATGTGAGGCCTCTGTGCTAATCCCTGGACCAGGAGCCTGGGTGCCCAGGTGCACAGGTGCAGTGAGGGCTTGAGAGGGGTGGGAAAGCCCTGTGACTAGCCTCTCTGCGAGATGAGTAGGAAATGGGTTGGTACAAAGGTAAAGCAGAGTGATGGCCAAGGAGGAGGTTAAAAATAGCCCTCCGGAAGGTTCCCTGAAGCCTCTCTTCCTGGCTATACAGTTGTCCCAAATAATGTTCCTTTACCAGTACAAGGGGCCAAATTTAACGAAGGATTAAAAATATGACCCCTCCTGATCCCCCAGAGTTCCCTCCATATCTCAAAGGCCATGAAGCTCCTGGATCCTACAAAGGGATGGGGAGTGGGGTGGAGAAGGGGCGTGTGACTCGGGACCCTACCTGACTGCTTAGACGGAAATCTATTCAACTAGGGTCTCCCCTGCCAGCCCTGACCTGACCTGACCACACCACAGAGACGCGGAGCTTTTCAGTCCAATGAATAACCCAGTTCCTTTCTCCAGCTAGCTAAGGAGGGCTGTGGGGGTCTCCAGCATGCTCTGCTCACCTTGGAATTTTTCCCACCACTCCGACCAGACTGTGAGGAGCAACTGCGCTGCACACCCTGCTCCGGGGTGGAGGGGGACTTGTCCGAGGAGTGGTCTGAGCCCTTCTCCACCATGGTGTCTCCGTCCTGGTTCTGTGGCGTTGGCGAGCGGGACCGCTTCCGGAGGATGGGGGAGCAGGCCGGCGTGCTGCGGTTGGAGTTACTGGCAGTGCTGCAGGGGCAGATGGAGAGGGGGAATGAGGTGGAGAGGGAGGAGGAAGGAAGGAAGGCTGTCAGTGATGGCAGGCCAGAGACCCATGCAAAGGAGCCAGCTCAGGGAGCCCAAGGCAACAGGCTGAGTAAGAAGAAAACCCAGCTAGGGACTTGCTGCACTGTAATGCTGCTGCTGGCCAGCAGGGAGCAGTAGTGCCAGTGTAAAAAAAGGGAAATAGGAGCAAGCAGTTAAGTATTTAAAGATTCACCCACCCATCCAAGAATCTACCCATCCAATCCTGTTTGAGCTTTTACTATATGTAGAAAGTTATTAGGGCAAATAATTTAGACCTTGAAAGAATCATTTGGCGATCAGTCAATGCCACCAGTTCATTTCACACATATACTACATTGCGTTTCAACACTTTTGTTCGTAATGATAATCCCACTTTTCAAAGCATTCACATATGTTATTTCATGGAAACATCTTCTAAAATATATCACGTTATGTTATTTTTCACATGTGTGTGGGGGCATGCATTCGCCATGGGCGTGCCTGTGGAAGTCAGAAAGCAACTTGCCAGAGTCTGTTCCCTCCTTCCACAATGTGAGTCCTGGGAGTAAGCTCTTTTGTCTACTGAGCTGTCTCACTGGTCCACACACCATGTGTCTTAAGACATTCAGCCAAGCTAGTAATGCCAAGTGCCACTATCCTAGGGTTTAAAAATGAAGACAAATGCCTGGCAGAGAGAAGTAGTCATCAAAGGCAAGACTCAGGATTCGCTTCAGACGTAACCCACTCATACCACCCTAGTAAGTGACACTGCTGTACCACTGGGAGCAGAGACTTATTCTCATCCCCTCCCCCACCCAAATTCATCTCTAAAAAGCTCCTTGCACTTTGTACAGCACCAAATCCAATTACACCTAGGCATGCGGATCTGTTAGTACAGTAAGAACTGAAACTTAGCTTGTGTTTTCAAAAGAGTAGAAGAGGTGAAGAAAATAAAGGAGAGGAAAAAGTGAATTCGTTCTGTTAGGTTTTGAGAGAACAGAGGAAGAAAACAAATGGGCAAAAGGAAAGAATACTCAGAAAGCAGCAGGGGAAATGGGAAGGAAAAGCCTGCGAGATTACAAAGCCACCCAGCAAGGTGACAAGAGGGGGCAGGGCCCTGCCTACCTGCTCAGTGGCCAGACTGGCTAACCCAGGAAAGTGTCTTGGGCAAACTACATGCTGGTCTTGCCTCAGGAAGCAGAGGGCAGGATGGAGGACACGGACATTTGCATGAAGATCTAGCTGTAACCTCAGATGCTCCGCTGGAGACATTTGCAATGATTACGCCGTAACACCTGGCCAAACTCAGTAAAGAGGAGAGTTCACAGGCCCATCCACCATCATTGTGGAGGGGAGGAAGTGGAGCACGGACCAGTATGGAACCCTCCTAGAGAAACACTAATATAGCCAGAAGGCACAAGATTTTGTTCCATCTGAAAATGTATGAGTTGACTTAAAATCTTGCCTGCCAATGACTTGAAGAAGCCCAAAAGCTCTCTCTCGGAAGAGGTTGTCCAGCTTCTCCCTCCGTGTAACAACATCCTTTTTTTCCTCTGACTTTTAAACCACACTATAAACCTTAGGGAGCAAAAGCTATATTTCTTTTCTTCAACTCTAGAGGCTGAGCCAAGGCTGTCCAAGCCAAGGACACCCCAGTCCTCTGGGAGAGCTTGGGGATGGGAGGATGCTCACCTATCCAAGGGAAGCCTCCTTTTCCTTGAGACAGTTCCAGCCTGTGACCAAGTATTCAAGAGCAATCTTCCTACCCACTCATCCCCAAGTAAAAAAAAAAAAAAAAAAAAAAAGACCATCTGACCTTCACAAACACAAAACGACCTTTCCCACCTTCCTGAAATAAAGGCCATTTTCATTCAGTCTAATTCTAGAGTGTCTAGGCTTAGGAGCGTAAATGGAGGATAATTCAAGTCAAGAGCAGGCAAACCAAACAAGCAAATCAGAAGGTATAAGACACAATACACAAAGCAACACGAGTAGAGTGAGATAGCGCAGTTCTTTCTACCAAGCTAGCGTAGGGCCCACACGCTAGAAGGAGAGGACTGCACTCCCTCGCCCCCGTGAGTCGTACTCTGACTTCCACACATGACCGCTACTACATGTGTGTGCACATGCCATAGCACACATGTAAGGATTAGAGAACAGCTTTCCAGAGTTAGTTCTCTTTTTCCACCATGTGGGTCCCAGGGACCAAGCTGAAATCTTTAAGCTTGGTGGTAAGCACCTTTGCCTACTGAGTCACCTGTCTGCTCCCTTGGATCTTCTCAGGTTTCCCAAACTAGAATTTAGTTCTTTTCCAAATGTGACCTTCACCACTGTGGCCACTACTGCTTCTTTGACTTCAGCTTGTCATTGGCAAGTCTCCTCTGCCACCGGATTCACACTTGCTAATCTGGCCTAACAATACTATGCCAAGTAAATATTTCTTCCAGATAAATGTCCCCTGAGAGCCTCAGCTCCCAAACATCTAGCCATCTTTCTCCCAGACCTCTGCCCATTCCTTGCCCTTCTCCAAAGGCACCATCATTGCTCAGAAGTGGTATCCCTTCTGTGCCACCCACCGCATTCTATGCATTCTGTTTCTCTAAGGCTCTATCCCATTCTTCCCTTCCTGTCCTATCCCAGGTTCTCAAGGTATCTTGCCTGGACTTTTCCAATAGTCTTAGCTATGATTTGAGTGGTTTCTTAAAAACAAAAACAACAAACAAGCAAAAACACCCAGAATAATAAGAGGTCATTGACCTCTTCTGTGCTTGGCCTCCATGCCAGTCTTTTATACAAGAAGAAATCTCTGTAACCATAGCTCTGCCTTGGCAGAGTCATTTCTAGCCTTTCTGCATTGCTAAACCTATTAAAACATCAGCCATTGTCCTGGAGATTTGGGCATGCTGCTAAGTAAATAAAGCCAGTTTCTATGCATTTTGTAGAGCAGCTTACCTTTCAAACTCTGTTGTGTGCCCTTAACCTGATCCTACCAGCAGTATTAATAGAATTACAGTTAACTAGTTACATTTGGGGGTGGGAGTCAAAGGAACCTTACATGCCCAGTATGTAGGAGACAACAGACAAGATCCTTGACCTGAATTCAGAAAGGGTCCTTGGCCTGTGAGAAACAGGAGATCAAGTACCTGACAACCAAGGTGATGTGACTCTGTATGTGGTACTATCATTCCAGAAGTATTTATTGGCCACCTGGTACAATGTTAAACATCCACGTTAACACAGGTGAATAAAAAAACGATCCTTGTGCTTAGTACATTTACAATGAGGCAGAGCTAGACATGACCTCTAATTGGAATGAAAGCTGGTGTGATCTAAGAAAGTAGAATGAAGAGGGAAAAGGAAGAGAGGAGGGAGAGAGAGAAGGAGAGAGTGAGAGAGAAAGCTTTCCTCAAAGAATTAGGTTCAGAAAAATGTGTTTAGCCAAGCAAAAACCATGAAGTCAAAGAAGCCAATGGAGGACAGAAAGAAAAAAAGGAGAAAGAAAAAAGCAGCAGGAATAAAATGAAGGTCTTAAACAGCATGGAACATGCAGAGAGTGACAAGAAGCTGCTCCAGAGAGTCCTATAATCATCCCATCTCCCTAGTAATAGGTCCACTAAGACCCCTGCTGGCCACCTCTAACCCAGGAAGATACCCACTCATCCCCACCTCTCCTATGTGTAAGACCGGTGACAAAGACTATTTCACTCCTGTCCCAGTTACCTCGCTGACAAAAAAAAAAAAAAAAAAAAAAAATGTCCTTTAGCCTGACCACAGTATCTCATGCTATGTGTGGTCATAGCCTACTTCCTGGACTCGGGTTAGGCTGATGTCCTTGAGCAATAGGGAAATGTAGCAGGAGGACAAAGGTTTTCTTTCTATAAAGTGACTATCTTCGCGAGCTCCCCAACCTGCACCTCACATGCCCTGGCAACTGCACCACTTTTCTTGGCTTTCCTTCCCCATCCTTATTCCTAGTGAGGTCCTGCAGGCACAGGCAGACCTTGTCAGAGTGCCAGCTCCCTGGTCAGCCACCCGTGCATTTCTCAGAACTCTGAGCAGAACACAATGGTCAGCTGGTGTTCCTTATTCAAGTTTATTTGTTTGTCATTATGAAAGATTGTTTCCGCCCCAGATACTGCAAAATTCGTACCTGCCACTCTGGATGCCCTGTGCCTCCACCTGCTTGGACTGCAGCCTCTGTCTCTGCAATCCTGTGGCCACGAGCACCACAGCTCTAGCTCATTCTCGATGAGATTCCCAAAGCCCTAAAGTGCCCTTAATGAACGAGTGCATAGCTACAACCCTCTCTGTGCCAAGGGGCACAGGGAACTTTTAAAAAGTGACTCCCCGGTCTATTCCAGGGCACTGCCATCTGGAGAGCACTGCATCTGAAGTCTGGCCATTGTATGTACCTCAAAGCAGTAGGCAGGGTAAACTGCCAACCTGTCACGTGAGCAGGTCCAGCTTAGCCTTTTGCTTTCTGTTACCTTGGTTCCTGAGTTTCTTTTTTTTTTTCTCATTTAAAGATATTTAGGATAACAACTGATGCATAACTAGTCCCAATAAACAGCTGAGCCATCAAAATGGATTCTAAACTCCCTTGGTCTCTTTTCTCAACCTCCTGGGCCTGTTGGGGGACTGTTGGGGGCCTGTTGGGTTAAGGGTAAAAGATGTAAATGTTGCTGGACATTACTCATGGAGGATGGTGGATGGAGGGGGTGTTGGCAACACAAAGCATGATTCTTAAAACTACAGGACCCAAGTGTTGCCCACATACCATCTCCAGATGGTTTCCAGGGGATCATTTTCAGAATCTGCATCCTACATGAGAACCACTCGAAAGCTGCAGAACCACTGTATGTCCAAAGAGCAACCTTTGAAGGATCAGTAAATAAATGATATACCTAAATGTCCTTGGCCTCAGAGCCTTCTTAATAATGCCATAGGTAGGCAGAGGCCCTGGA